TTATGTCCTAGTTTATTATTTCCCAATGTTATACACTCGATTCTGCTTCCTGATTAGCCCTGCCAGTTAAATCCAGAACACCAATCTCAGCCTCTGCGATATGAATCATTTATTTCAAACATGCTTAGTTTATATACAATCCAAACAGACCACATTGTACTATAAAATAGAAAATAACATTTGTTCAAGATTTGGCCAAATGTGGCTGTGAATGTGGGAGGTAGTGACTGATAGACAGGGCATAATTTAAGAATGGTAAATCTTATAATAGTTCATAGGTGAAAATAAAACTTCTAATAAGAGGAACACGAATATGAATAGTTTAGTTACTTAACAATTATACGATAAAAAATATACGTATAGAAATAGATTCCGACAGTTACTATTCATTATTCTCATCAGGATATAACAATATATATGCATTATTTTACTCTAATCTATGAGGAACATCACAGGATCCACTCACGATGAGCGTTTACATTTGGTCTATCCTACTTTTACATTAAAAATAAAATAACTCAATCGATCGCTTTTAGATTACAACAAGGGCAGTAATCAGATTAATTTACTAAGGTTATACAAATAAACTTAATGTTTCCTATCGATACATCGAATTCATTTGATGTATTCTACATTGATCCCGAAAATTCTTTTCATAGTTCTGTAACTGACACATTATTTTAAACTTAATAAATTAGTGTTTATCATCAAATATAAAAAAAAATATTGTGGAATGCATTAGATTCATTTCATTCCATGTGATCTAAAGCTTTCCGTTATATCCCGATAAGAAGAATGAGTGGTAATTGTTATGTAACTAATCTGTTCATATTCATGTCCATTTTATTTTGACCTATGACCTGTTATTATACGATTTACCATTCTTGAGTTATGGCCTGTCTATTAATTATTACCTCCCTCATTTACAGCCACATTTGGCTAATTTTTGTACAAATGTTGTTTCCTATTTTATGGTACATTGTGGTCTGTCTGGTTGATATATAAACCGAGTATGTTTGAAGTAAATGATTAATATTGCAGAGGGTTAGATTGGTGTTCTGTATTTAACTGGCTGGGCTAGGTACGAAGCAGAGCCAATCAGGACTCTAGACTGCTTGCACGTGTTTTATAGGTCACTGGTTCAATCTACAATTCATTGCTCTCTGATTGGCGGTATTGTTGCGTTATCTAATATACAGGACACCCAGGTTATAACACTTTCACGAGCTCATTGATATGTACGTTACACAGACGTTGCCAGATTATGCAACGGTGTTGAATTTAATTTGCCAATATTTGTGTATTCTCACTGATATTAAAGACTTCTATCGATCAGTTTTTTGGCCTCTGTACAATTCTAGCGCATTGAATCAATATCACCGTATATTTATAAGTTTTTAGAAAATTCAGGTGATGACTAATGGTGTAATCCAGATTGTGTGTTTTTTCACGTTTGAGACTTTTCAGCTGTGTGTATTTATGTTAACACTGTAACTCAATCCTTATGTCTTATGGTTCAAGCTCTTAATATGTAACATAATGAGCTACCGAGTTTACAGAGTAGCTAGTCAGTTCAGTGAAGATAAATTTAATTTATTTAACCACAGTAACACTTTTACCATTCTATTTCGTTAACTTTTTATTTCCTGTTTATTGTTATTTAACATAAAATAAATCTTCACTCCTTTTATTAGATTTAATTATTCAAACAATTACCATTTCCTTATGCCACTTTCAACTATTGTTATTATTATCATCATTATTTTGTTTACTTGACCACTGGTTTGTGGTAATCAATATGACTTTAATTATTTTGTTTGTACATGGTGATTGTATATGATCATATTATGATCTCTCTTCTTCTCTCTACCCTATTCCATTTGTCTATAAACTGAATATATTAGAATATAGAAAGTTATTACAATAGGACATTATCAATTTAGCGTTTAAAAAATGCATTTACATTTTATCAAGTTTGTGCAACATTTTACGAGAAATCAAGGTAACATCGAACCACTGTCCAACCTCTTAGTGATAATATAATCATTAATATTTATGGATATATACTCGCGTAAGCATGGTGGGTTAGATTTTAACAAAATATATACATAATTGGTTCTATTTAAGATTTGATAATAGAATAAAGGTCTGTTGCATATTCAAACTTCATCCTTGTAGTCAGTTACTTTAAATTTTGAAGATTTTTTATTTATCAAGTGGACAAAATCGAGAGAAATTACATGCTTCACAGTTCCAGCAACTTGTGAGAGACTTTGGGGTGCAACGCAGATTATAGTTATGGACATTGGATATTCGATTTGGGTGAGAAAATTTTCATGAACCATACTTTATGACACTGATAATATACGGCCTAAATGAGAAACTTTCATCAAGTCAAATGAATTAGGATTAGTGGCAGATGTATGATTAGGATTTGTACATCCGATCATTTCGATCACATTCTTGACATTATTAATGAGACAATATACATTAGCAATATCTTTCAGCGTCATATAGTGATCTGACTCGATTCTGCTCAAGATTGTAGTACGAAAGTCTGAGTCTGACGATGATTGCAACCGGCATATAAAGATAAAACACTGAAATTGTTCGTCAGAAAGTGAGCGCAACTTAAAAACTCTCGCATTACCTATTAATAATTACTGCATATGAAACAAAATCATCTTCAGGTTTATTAACATTTCTAAGACAAATCTAATTAGTAAACATATGTGTTAATTTTTGTACAGTAGAATCAAAAGAAGAAACGTGAGGTTTTTTTGGCTAGATTAGGGGGCAGAATACTCACTTTCGAAGGGTCATCATGATGAGAAAACTCAACTCAAAAATGTCTTCATACTTCTTGAACCATGATTCGCATGTGACATAGCATCAGGATCAATATGAAACTCGCTCATTGAGTTGATCAGTGATTCGGTAGTTGAGCCCCTTAATTCAGACACTTATACTGAATTTTCTCAAATTAAAAACTATTGTGTAATCATTTTCGATCATTTTCAACTGTGATGCTTGAAATTCTTTTTGCTGCAGCTGCAAGATTGATTTAAGCTGATCTGCTAAAACTGATACTTGGAATGTTTTGTTTTTGCGTGGGTTTGACAAAAATAACGTCACCAGAAACTGTTATGATGGATGGTGTCCAAAGTCTGGTACTGACACACGACGTGCTATGCGCTAACCCCTCAACTGATTACTTCAGCGAGAACACAAGAGCTGACGAGAAAGTATATTGGGCTACCGAATAAAATGCGCAAATCCTCATTTATATATACACAACTCTACGACTTAGGAAATCAATCCATTTATTAGCTAACAAATCCGCCTGTCCTTCATGTCATTTCTGATTGCCATCGACTGACTTTCTCATTTAGCTACTTCTGATTGGCTTACCGTATCAGAGGTACCTGACAGGAATCCCAACCTTGTTTGGTAAATTGTTTTTAACCCATATAATCAGAGAAAGATGACATAAATTACCAATCAGTGGTCGGTCACTATAAATATCTCAGCCCTATATGAGGTCAGTCACGACCCTGTGATACCATCATTATGTTACACAGGATTTTTCAACGTAGTAGATGTAGCTCATTTCTGAACATTGTTAAATTAGCAGAAAATTCACAAAATTTAATCATAAGACAATAGTCTAGATCAAATGAAATTATATGTCCTATTGTGTCTATCAATCCGATTGTTTTAAAACGATAAATATCATGTGTTCTATTATATAATCACCATGAAATAAAATAAATCTACAGTACAAAAAAACTTCCATTTTTTTTATAGTAGACTAGATTATCACAATAAGCGTAAAGATGTGTCAATTAATCTCCCAAGCGAATTAGTTGAGTTAACGTGAAAATCTCAATTATTTCCAATATTAATGATCGTAATAGATTAAACTTCATTACATTCCACAATATTAACCTTCGTAGATCATTCTTAAGATGGTGACTGAAGGTAGTCGACAGGAAACCCTGAACTTAGGTTTCGTACTTTTTGGTTTTTAGGATTCAGTCTTCACTAAGAAGGATCTGACACACATGACATTGATCATCAACCAGTGATCAATCAATTGTAAATACATTTCAATCCTACAGGAGGTCAGTCCCTTTCCGGATCGCTCGGTGGTAACGTCTCTGACTGCGAGACTGGATGACAGAGGATCGAATCGTCGGGGAGCACCAGTCCCCTCAATATTACAGGCACGTTTTACTGATGAGTGCTAAGTAGTACGAAACCAAAGTCAACGGTTTCCTGTTGACTACCTCTAACCACCACCTAATCTCAACACTTTGCATATAATGTCGAGTCATCTAAACTAATGGCCACGTTTCGATCTGCACTAAGAAGAACGTGACACACATGACATTATTCACCACCCAGTGATTAATCAATTGTAAAGTAGATCATTCTTATTTATAGCGTAGATGTTTAATTTAGGTATGGTCAGTTTGACAGCAAAACTAATTTTCTATACATTATGCATATATTGACAACATTAATATTAAATAAAATGATTAAATCAAGCTATTTGATCTGTCTGAATGATCGATTAATGGTTTCCATTTTCATTAATTAATAATGGATACTTGTATATAGTGATCAGTATATATGATGTTTGTTTTAATAGGAATTTTATTATGGACTCTTAACAGTGTCAAATGTATTTCGAGTTTTTATACCAGAAGTTATCTTTGATCATGCACTTATTCACTTACTAACTTACTCCTGTTACCCTTGGTGGAGGAGAAAAGGCCATCCATAAATGTTCTCTATCAAACTCCGTCCTGGAACCTACATCTGGATAATAACTTTTTAAAAATTACAAACATATAATTATATAACTCTTGAATTCATTAATGAGAACGACAAACGATCTGATATATACACTTCATCATTTTTGATTCATTTCTGTAGAAACTTTTATCAACCTTTAAACTAATCATTATTTAATTATTAATTTTCTATCTTTTTAGATATTTGCCCTGGTATTTTTAGCAGTGTTAGAAAGTGGTATTCTTTATACTATACTATCACAATGGTTAAGACATTTAGAAGTCGGTGTAACATTTGCTGTTCAAATGTTTCAACCTGGTTTAGAAGATAAAACAGTTATGGCAAATATACAAGAAGCTCTTCATTGTTGTGGTAGAGGATGTAAGTTTTATCTTGTGATTTAATTTAACATACTATAGATAAGTAGTTTTGTAAACTGAAATTCTAGGCAATTCATTCAAGGTAACCGGATAGTATCAATAGCTTAGAAACTAATAGTAAACGTGAAAGTCAAATACATAAAACTGTAATTAATAAATCGGTTACAATAACTTGATTTGGTCAGATTGATCAATTGCAATCTTAAACCTCAATGGTAAGATACAAGCCAAATAATACCAAGTGATTAAAATTAGCATTATTATCTACTGAGGTTACCATAATAAAATTCATTATTTATGAATTTTTGGACATTAAGATTATTGTAACCCTCATAGTTTGCTTAAGCCACATAATTTCATAAAGACTTTATTACGAAGTGACTTCTTTTTAATCTCTTCTTCGTTGAAGTATCATCGAACTATTGATGTTTATCAATTGTCAATCTATTGAGTCACGTGTTTGAGTCAATATCATGTTAAAATATTTATCATCTGTACTTCCGACTTCAACTTATACAGATTAGAAAAATTTATCACAACACATTTAGTCTGTGGGATCCTTTATTTAGATGTCAATTAGATCGGACGATGTTCGTCGAAAGGCTCTCCACTTTAGTGGCCCGATGTTCTGAATCCACGTAGATCGCATGAACGATCGTTGTCGAATTATATATGTTACCTATCCTCGTATATAATCATCGACTTAAATAGTATTAGTCAATAACCGAATTAAATAAGTTAAATAACGAGAATGAAATTTTGGATACGTATATTTTGTATATGAAGGGAATGGAATAGAACGAAACAAAACGACGCGCAGTGGAGATGGAGCGTAAGCCAACACTCATTTAACCAAACGTTAATCAATATTTATAGTTACAAAAAAGTAAGTTACAGACATGTGATGAGTAATGGGATAAGAAGTGTACACACACCTACGCGCTCATATAAAGACAGTCGAGATTGATAAGCGAATAATTAACAAGGTCAGAATGTGACTCAAATAGAATGAACAGAATGGGCTGTCAGAAAGCTAGAATAAGGTATATGGGCTTAACATAATAACCGACACTACAAGTCACTAATTACTATGGTAAAAGACTTACTTACTTACTTACTTACTTACTTACGCCTGTTACTCCTCTCAGAGGAGCATAGGCCGCTCACCAGCATTCTCCATCCAACCCTGTCCAAAGCAATCCTTTCAAGCTCTTTCCAGTTCTTATTCATCTTTTTCATATCTGCTTCTATTTCCCGACGTAATGTGTTCTTTGGCCTTCCTCTTTTCCGCTTCCCTTCAGGATTCCAAGTTAGCGCTTGTCTCGTAATGCAGTTTGATGATTTCCTCAATGTATGTCCTATCCATTTCCATCGTCTTTTCCTAATTTCCTATGGTAAAAGACTTGAACAATGTAAATTCTAAGCTTAAACTAGAAATAAATTCTAGTTACTTACTTGTTTAATTACTTACGTACACCTGTTATCCATCATAGAGAACTATAAGCCGCCTATCAGGATTCTTCATCGAATTCTGTTTTGAGAAATTCTTTCCAGTTGTTTTGAAATTACTATTCATTCTTTTGGAGGCAGAAATCAAAAATATAAATAGCGATTGGAAATCACTGGAAAATATTTCCCATTTACAGATATCAAAATTAATGAAATCTATCATGATTATATAAAGTAATTAAAAGATCAGATCATAAAAAAGAACTAATATCCGAGGAATGAATTGTGATATGTAGTTATATAATCGATAAAATGCTCAATATAATATGAGAGAATGGATTACATTTACTGAGTTCAGTTTAAATAACAGTAGTGTATTCATACAGAGTATGTTACAGTTAATCAATAAAAAGAGAACAGCAATTTTGTTACGAAGACATTTGTGAAAAGAGAGATTCTGTAATAAATCAACAGTAACTGAGACATTGACTATTATGATGACAAAAATAAGGAGAATGGTTGTAAAAATGGCGAGACTATAATTTATAGACGAACCAATCAGGTATAAAATAATAGGTCTGTGATTTGGACGTGAAATTCACTCATTCATTTAGTAAATCGAGTTTTGGCATTCTAGCTGATGTCAATTTGTGATGAAAACCCGAAATCTAATTCCTAATCTTAACCATCAACTATAAATCATAATTCTAATTCCTCACACAGCTTTATGATCCTCATTTGGTTCTAGATATTAGGTGGACAGTCTCAAGGTCAGTCTAGAGTCGCTCAAAGGTCTCACCGTAAAAATTTCTTATGAATACAAAAGACAGATCTATTCAAATGGATACCAATGACTTCAGCTGTATGTAAAAGATATATGCTTAAAAAATGGGTTTTATTTAGTAGGATTTGGTGAATGATTTAAAATGTATTGTTTACGATTACTTAATGCTCCGTATTTATTTTATTGATGATAAAATAGTAAGCGTGCTGGTGATTATCGAAATTCACCTAGCTTCTATACAAAAAAAAACCTGATATGAATCAACATATGCTCAGTAGTGACTGACTTCAAGAGGTATTTCTTGGAGTGAACAGTGAGAAGCAGTGATCAATGCAGTTCAACTGATTCTGTTGTGAGATAGTTACTCACTAATGACAATGGTGGATGAGTCGCTGAATTTCGTGTATTAGTTGAATTTAGACATTAACACCGTTGGATGATGGCCTGTTCAGTGGTTTAGTGGTTAAGTGCTCGCGCGCGAAACCAGTAGGTCCTGGGTCCGAATCTCGAGGGAGAGGCGGGGTCGTGGATGCGCACTGCTGAGGAGTCCCATAATAAGAAGAAACGGCCGTCCAGTGGTTCCAGATATTTCTTGCTGATCTAGCTTCAATTGACTCATGATCTCAACCATTGAATTTACTATAATATCCACAAAAACCCTTCCGATATTAAGTTGTTGTTGTTGTTGTTGTTGTTGTTGTTGTTGTTGTTGTTGTATATACATGTGTGTATTTTGTATCATCTGATCAGTGTTGATTTTTTTTCTTTTCTAATTCTTTTTCTTTTCTTTGAAAAAAAAAAACAATAGCTTATGATGATTATGGTGTGGCTAATGAAGCAATACCTAAACAACATGTACCATATTCATGTTGTGATTTACAAACTTATACAAATGAACATTGTAATAATGCATCAAAATTAACAAAAACTAAAATTACCTCATTATCAAAACAATCTCCTGAATTTAATAATCTTCTATATGTTATTCCATATTATTTAGCTTATCCTGAAGGTTGTGTTAATCGATTAAAAAATTTATTTTTACCAATAGTTATTGGTTGTTTTTGTCTTTTAATATCTGTGAATATTTTTGCAACATTTATAAATTGTTTCTATGTACAAAAAGCTGCTGATGAAGAAGAATATGAACAAAATTGGCTTGATTCACAAAATTTTTTAAAAGAAACTAAAGGTTAGTTGTTATGGAAATATAAAAAATATTATGATATGATTTGAAAATATTATGTATTAATTTGTTATTGACTAATTAATTATACTAGTCCGTATCATGTTTAAGACAGTTACTTACTTACTTACGCCTGTTACTCCCAATGGAGCATAGACTGTCGACCAGCGTTCTTTAAATCAGTCTGCCCTAGGCCTTCGTTTCCACTTCGATCCAATTTTCGTTTATTCTTCTCATATCTGTCTCCATCTCTCGGCGTAATGTGTTCTTTGATCTTCCTCTCCTCTTCCTTTGGCATTGAAGATTTCATGTGTAGGCCTGACTTATGAAATAGTTAGGTGCTTTCCTCAATGTATGTCCTATTCACATCCAACACTTCTTCCTGATTTCTTCCTCCACTGGTATCTGGTTTGTTCTTTCTCACAGTAGGTTATTATCGATGTTTAAGACAGTTACCCATTTCATATCAATGATGAGCATTGTTAAGAAGTCTCATACAAGGACAAAACGGATGTCGCGTTTTACCATGTTTTTAATAATGATCGACTCGTGAAAATTCAACTGTGAAAAATATAATAGTATTGAATAATAATTGAAAGCATACCGAGTATGTAGATCAGTTAAGAAAGTATTGAAATGACAGTGTCATGAAATGATATATATCTCATATTTGTCTTTAAACGCATTTATTGGAGTTTAGCTTGATTTTTTAAATCATTTGTGTATCCGGTGTCAGATATGTTTTATCCTAGTGAAGACTACATTACAAGTAATGTCTGTGACCTATTAATGGACTAATGTTATTTATATATTTTTATGGTATAAATATTCATTAACCAGATTATGTATATCTACGTTCTTCTTGTTATAAGCTTTATTTTCACCTATATACTATTACTGTACGATTTACGTTTCTTAGGCTATGTTTAATTTATTGACTACTGCCTCCCACGTTCACAGCCACTTTTTGGCTTTATTTTATGGTGCGTTGCGGTCTTTTTGTTTGATACATAAACCCAGTATGTCTGAAATAAATGATTCTCATAGCGGAGGCTGTTATTGGCATTTTGGACTCAGCTGGACGGGCTAGGCGGGCGACGGACCAATAGCACACTAGGCTGATCAGATCGGTCGGACGTCATTGGTTTAGTAAAGTATAAGAGAAAATAAGTTGTATTTTGATTGGCAAATAGATTAAGTGATAACTAGAGGACCATAAAGTCACAACAAGATGGTCATTTTTAGCAAAAAAAGCTATTGTACTTTGAGATTGCATAGTTTATTCAATTTTTATAGCGGAACTTAGTTTTTTGAATTAGGACTAGTGTAGGTTATGTGGTCTAATGAGGCTACTACATCATACTAAGATAAACTATTGGTTTTTTAATTCTTGTTAATCATAGGACACAACTTTCAGTATCCTTTTATTTGACAGGATGACTGAAATGTCAACTTTGAGAAGAGGTAAAATGGATTATTCAGTAGTAGACCACTATAATCCAGTTACGAAGTTGGTAGTATATATGCAGTCGGTGAAATCCAAGGAAACACGTGTATAATTATTGATTGTATAATGTTGTAAGGTATTTCGAGATTTGTACAATTTAAAGTTATCTGTCATAATGAAGTGAAATCATATGAACAACTGTTTTATTCTATTTTCTGGTATTATTTAGTTCATATTACTATGTCCAATGTGAATAAGATGATGAGTAATTGGACTAATGAATTGAACTAGACTTTTATCGTCTATTTCTTCTATGAACGTCCTGGATTTACTCAAAAATACAAAAAAAAACCCTTATTTTCATGCTTCTAGTATGTGTAATTTGATAATATAAATGTTAACTAACGAAAACAATTGATGGTATTTTAAGTCTAATGTATCCCTATATTTAGACTGTAAAGTATAAAGCTGAATAAAAGTCGACGACTTTCTATCTGATGTTACTAGTTTTAATTTACTTTGATTAAATGTACATTTTAGTATATTAAAATATGGATTATATTATTAAAAATTAAAGGGATTATAACAACTAAAAGCTATTGTGTAGGGTACTTTACACTATTGTAGTAACATCATTCTATTATTGATGGAGTTCTGTTCTCTGAACTGGATGGTTTGGTTGTGAAGACTTCATCGTTTTTCTGAATGACATTATCAGCACAAAATTCAGGTAGAAATGAAGTGTTTGAATTTCTCTACATATGGTTCACAGCTTGTCCTGTACACCTCTATGTTGATTGATTCATATTGATCTTAACTTGAAGTAAACACTGACAGGTTTAAGGCCAACAAGAACCAATCAACATCAAGGTGTACAGAATAAGCTGTGAACCATATGTGAAGAAATTCGAACACTTATCTTTTACTTGAAGTTTGTGCTGCTGATGTCATTCAGAAGAACAATCAAAGCTCTATGACCAAACCATCCAGATCAAAAAACAAAACTCCATCAAAATCATCCACCTAAGCTAGAAATCTTCTCCATCATCTCAATATTATTCTATGATATTGTTCACCTATTCTATAGAATTACTTATTCTACAGAATTTATTTTACAGTTTATCACAAAATATTTTTTTTATAGTTACCATGTTTCTTTTTTAAAAAAATTCTGTTTCAATACTTTTCTTTTACAGAAGCATTTTGTTTACGACCACAGAAACAAGTAGAAATTTCATGTGATGCTTCAATTTCAAATGTAGACGATCTAAGTGTATTTCAAGGACAATTATCACGTAGACGAACTAGTTCTATACCAACTGATATGAATTAAATCAATAACTTATTGATTTTATTCTCTTTTCTTTTTATTTTATCTGTATATTCCACATAGTGTTTGTTTTGTTTTTATTTTTGTTTTTTTTTTCATTTTTCATGAAGTCAACTATTTCCCAATAGTTACTTCTTTAAAAAGAAAAAAAAAAGAAATCCGAAATTCAAGCATTTATCAACTTTTGAAAATAAAAAAAATGAATGTTAACATTTTTTTTTGTGTGTGTGTGATTAGAATATGTAATAATAACTCTGTTAGAACAACTGTCATGATTCTTCTGTTCGTCTCTAACGTCTGAAGTTCTTTGTATCTATGAATGTTCTTTGTATGATAATACAATGATATCTATTCATTTGATCATCTCACTATATATATATATATATATATATATATATATATATATATAATGGTTTGAATTAATAATTTTTCAGATTTTTCATTTAAACCTAAAAAACCCTATACCTCATCAAACTACAAACATTCATTTAAGTGAATTCCAAAGTGTATGATATTTTATATTTATAGCTTTTCTGATTTGATTGCTTGGTTGGCTAGTTGGTTGATTGGTCGGTCGATCGATCGGTTGGTCGGTTGGTTGGTTGGTAAATGACATTTACTTGTTTATAATATACAAGGAAAACATGTTTAATCATAAACTATAATTCTATTTCGTTAGTATTCATTTTGAAAGAAAAAAAACGACATTCATTTGTTTGTTTTTATTTAACATTTACCATGTGAATATTCAATGTTCAAATGAATAAGAATAATATTTTTGTCTATTCGGTTAAATTTTCATATACACTGATAAAAAGGACAGCTAATTATATATATTCGTCTACACGAATAGAATATTAATTTGTCTTAGATGAATAGTTGGTGGCTTGCTTGAATATCAGGGCTATCTGTTCCTGCCATCTAGATATTTCAACAAGTTATCTAATTATGTTTGTTTTAATACATCATTATGTCTATTAAACGCATAACCTATTTATGTGCGTTTTTTGAAAAGTGAACAATCTTTCGTTGTAAAAGTTACAAAAGGCCCAATAAGAGAATATTTTGGTTGATGGCAATATACAGCGAAAAAAATGTACATAATACAGATGTTCATTTTCTGGACTGCTAACATCTAACTGATGATTTCTCAATATTTATCGTCAGGATCAACCAAGAAGTAAAAAGAGAAAAATTGTTGAACAAATTTGCGTTGAGAATTCTATGTTGTAAAAAGCTGACGAGAAACCACGAAATATGATGAATTCCCATTATTCTGCATCTATGTTCTGGCTTTATTTAAATTCATAAAGGGAACAAATTGCATAAAATTCTATATTCTACCAAAAATATAATATTAAATAAAGCTAATAATAATAAATAAATAAATACACTAGATTCTCTCCCAATAACTCATTCTACAGGACTTTAACACAATTCAGATTAAGAATAATTGACTAGTCTGACTACAACGTAAATATGTTTCCACACGGAAACCGACAACAATCCGATAATAATAATAAATACAATAATAATAATAAGGATAGGAGAATATATAACTCATCTAACGCTTGTCAGATGCCTGTCAGACAAGTCTGACTAAACAAAAAAGCAATCATTATTATCCGTGCCCACATATCAAAAATATAAAAGAAAATAATAATATCACATCAATCCATGTCCTTGAATAGTTAATGATCTTTCGTGAATATTTTATTTTATGATCATTGGAAATAACAAACAAGCTGTTTTATTCATATTGTGAAATAGATATTTGCTTTAAAAGAGACAATACATGAATTATTTAGCAAATATACTCTTATTACCCTTTATGAACTTAAATAAAGCCAGAACAGATATGAATTCAGAATAATATGAATTCATTATATTTCATGGTTTCTCATTCTCTTCTTACAATCATATATGTGTTGAAAGTTTAAATTGAGGTAAATATAGTGTGAAACAAATGACATAGATGGTGGTCCACGGTGGTTTAGCTTTAATGGACTCATGAATTCAAATATTAAATTAATAAAAATCACAAAACCCCCTCATAATATTCATCGTCTACTCACTAGTGACTGGCTTCAAGATGTATTTCCTGAAGTTCCAGTGAGAAGCTGTGACCAGTGGAGTATAACCGGGTCTGTTGTGAGATAGTAACTCATTGATGACAATGTTGGACTGTAGAGCAACTTCGTGGATTGGTTGGAGTTAGCCATTAACACCGTTGGATGTCGGCCGACTCACTGGTCTAGTGGTTAAGTGCTTGCACGCGAGACCAATAGGTCCTGTGTTCGATCGTGGATGCGCACTGCTGAGGAGTCCCATACTAGGACGAAACGGTCGTCTAGTGCTTCCTGGTTTTTCATGGTGGTCTAGCTTTAATTGGCTCATGATCTCAACCATTGAAATTACTTTAATATTCACAAAAACCCTTCTGATATTTTAAAAAACCCTATTGAAATTATATATATATATATATATATATATATATATATATATATATATATATATATATATATATATATATATATATATATATATAGAAACAAGTCGGAGGTCATTTGATGTTGAAATCATGAAGAATTTGGGGTGGGTAATGTCACAATTAAGTAAAGTTCAGAGATAGATAAGATAAATTGTGTGATAATTGCGTAATAACTGAACAGGATTTGAAGAGTTCATGTAATTTAAGAGAATTGAGATTATGGAAATGTATGAGTGAGGGAGTGGTTTTGATGTACATGAAACGAGAATTGGGTAATTCAAAAGTAATGTTGCAAAATAAACATTGGTAAAATAAAACTAATTATCAAAAAAGGATTTGCCAGCGTAGTAATACATAATTGCTTCCTTACGCCTGTTACTCCTCTCAGAGGAGCATAGGCCGCTCACCAGCATTCTCCACCCAACCCTGGCCTGGGCAATCCTTTCTAGCTCTCTCCAGTTGTTATTCATCCTACTCATATCTGTTTCTATTTCCCGACGCAATGTGTTCTTTGGCCTTCCTCTTTTCCGCTTTCCTTCAGGATTCCAAGTTAGGGATTGTCTCTTGATGCAGTTTGATGATTTATGTAGTGTATGTCCACACCCACTTCATCGTCTTCTTCTAATTTCCTCTTAAGCTGGAAGCTGGTTGGTTCTCTCCCACAAAAGGCTATTGCTGATGGTATCCGGCCAATGGATGTTGAATATCTTGCGTAGACAGCTATTGATAATTACTTGTACCTTCTTGATGGTGGTTGTTGTAGTTCTCCAAGTTTCAGCTCCGTACAGTAGAACTGTCTTGACGTTCGTATTGAAGATTGTTTCAGAATGCTAATAATCATATACATATCAGTTGGTTTTTACAGATTTCAGGAAAGTTTGCAAACATACTCAAGTTGATACAACAAAGGGTCCACTTGTCCAATGATATTAACTGTGAATTGTTTATTAATGATTATTTTAAAGGACCTATATAAACCAGTGGAATATATCAGTCGGTCATCTACCACGTGATACCAGGCGCAAATATGCATCGTTCCAAGTTGCCATACCAAATTAGCACAAAAAGATGAACATCAAATCAATAAAAGTAGTTACTTCAGTAGTAGTTATATATGAAAGAAGATAGCATATAAAGATATCATATCACGAGAAAAAATTGGTTTTCTGGAAGAAATGCATAAAGTAAGTTTAATCTCACGATTTAATGGAAGACAAAGAGTGTATACGCCATTGTGATCGATTCTGAGCCATGTCACCAAGAGTCTCCAACCATTAGTTACGATAGTCACGCGGACCCCAACCAAGTAGTATGAATCTACCGACATGGCCCAGACAAGAAGTTAGTGACTTCAAGAACTGATGCCACGTTTTGGTTTGGTCTATCCTGACTTTCTTTTAATCATTTCTAACTCCAGTCACTATCGCGCATTGTAGTAATCGGTGTTCAGGCATACGTAATAAGTGGCCCAAACATCTCCGTCGATGAAAATTCACAACATCAACTAATTTACCATCATTCTCTAATACCTTGTATCTGACCTAATTGTTATTTACCCGGTGATCCCAGCAGATGCGAGCAATATTTCTAAGACTTACTTACTTACTTACGCCTGTTATTCCTAATGGAGCATAGGCCGACGGCCAGCACTCTTCAACCCACTCTGTCCTGGGTCTTCCTTTCCAGTTCCATCCAATTCTTGTTTATTTTTCTCATGTCCATCTCCATTTCTCGACGTAATGTGTTATTTGATCTTCCTCTTCTCCTCCTTCGACCTTGAGGATTCCATGTGAGGGATTGTCTTGTGATGCAGTTGGGTGCTTTCCTCAATGTATTCAATCGGATGGAATATCTCGGCCTCGCAACCTGGCCATTCTGTATAGATTGTCTTCATTCACATTAAATACTTTATTCTGTTTTCAGCCCGAACGTGTTCTTCAGAAATATTAGACGTTATATTACTGATTATTACGATACGACGAGTCAGTGTACACGATGATGTGATTTCCAAGCAAGATCTTATAGTTTAGGCAGTCAAATCATGACAAATCTACAATTTTAGGATTAGATCTATTATTATAGCAGTACTAATAACGAACTAGACCACAACTTTACAGGCTTAAAGTAGAGTTAACTTTATTAATTTCTGAAGAACATTCCGACGCTTTACCTAAAGATTTGATAGATGCGTCTGCTAAGCACAGAGGATGTATGGAAATTCAGCAGATTAAGTACAAGATGATCCAGTCTTTCTTAAAAGACGAATGATTCCCTATGATCTTCGAGAAGCAGTACGTAAGACATTCAACAATTTGTGTAGAAAACGTATAGCTGAACCAATCCAGTCCTCAGTATGGAGTTATCCAATTATTACGTCCTCAAAGTCTGATGGCGAAAACCCTAGAATATGTGGTAATTACGAATGAGCATTGAGCTCTCGTTTGTTGAAACAAATACGAACGGCTGTGGAAGCTGAACATAATTTTAATCGACTTCATGGTTCTAAGGTATCCTTGAAAGTTTACTTAAAATTTTTATCTTCAAATCGTCTTAGATCAATCCTCATCTATTTTGACGACAATTTACACCTTCTTTTGGTCTATTCAAATACAGCTTTCTTCCATTTGATTCGCGCTATTTTCCAACCATATTTCAGGAAATGTTGAGTAATATGGTCAATGATGTTAAAAGGATGATGTTTGTCAGAGTCATCTTATTATCCATGGTTCTGCTAAAGTAGTCCATGACCATAGACTTATTGCTTTACCGTATCGTCTAATTGGGCGGAATATTACAGTGGATCCGAATAAGTGTCCATTTTGTGAACGTAGTTTTGAATGTCTTGTATGTCAAGTTGACGGTAACGGTTTTACACCAGAATTATATATCTCAACAATCATT